ACGAAACAAAAGAAGGAATTGCACAATTCATTTGGTGATTAGGCGAACTAACAACAAAAAAAATATAAAAAATAACGAGTCAATAATTTAAACACTGAACTAAATGATCCTTACGAAGATGTGGGTTGTTGAAGAGTTAGATCATCACTTTCCTTAACTACACCAAACAACATACTCCAAATGGCTTTTGCAATCATTGTTTTACCTATACCGCCCATACTTCAAATTCCAATTATTTGAACATCAGGTGAACCTCCAACATCCAAGTATTTAGTACTGAATTCTTGCACGCAAAAAGTTGTTCCAACTGAGTGCTTGGTTTCTTTTAAGTCTGTAGTTTTCAGTAGTCTCCTAATGTCTCCAACAATTTTCTCGATAAACAATCATTGATGTCTCGCGGTTAAAATTCAAAATTATACAAAAGTAAGATTCATCATGCAACTGCAAGATTTATATCAACTAAAGGCTTTTGATTCAAAATGGTCCCTGAGATTTGCATCATCCATAAGTTTGGTCCCTGAGATTTAAAATTAATAGAAGTAGTCCCTGCGATTGTCCACCATCCATGATTTTAGTCCTTCCGCTAAAGTTTTTGGCCAGAAGTTGGGCAATTTTCAAAGCTTCGTAACTCAATCGTTTTTTAACCAAATTCGACCCATAATATATCAAAATGAAGATAGGAAAGTGTAGAATAAGATTATATCTATTTGGAAGCCCAATCAATGGAAAACTGGAAAACTTGCCGGAAACTCGCCGAAAACTGGGTAAATTTTAAACATTCATAACTTCTTCAATACTCAACGAAATCAAGTGATTCAAAAACAAAAACCATACTTCTCAACAAGAAGAAGAGAATGGTACCTTTTTAAATGGCTAACTCGCCTTGGTTTGGCCGGAAAACGGCTCGAAAGTGGCTGTTGAAAAACGAGTTAGCAACTTTCGAGCCGTTTTCCGGCCAAACCAAGGCTTTTTAGCCGTTAAAAAAGGTACCATTCTCTTCTTCTCGTCGAGAAGTATGATTTTTGTTTTTGAATCACTTAATTTTATTGAAGACGTTATGAACGTTTAAAGTTTATCCAGTTTCCGGCGAGTTTTCCAGTTTTTCCTCGGACCAGTCAATTTTGAGGCTATTTTCCGACCATCGTCGGCAACCATTGGGCTTCCAAATAGATATAATCTTATTCTATACTTTCCTATTTTCATTTTGATATATTACGGGTCGAATTTGGTTAAGAAACGATTGAGTTACGAAGCTTTGAAAATTGCCCAAACTTCCGGCCAAAAGCTTCAACGGAAGGACCAAAATCATGGATGGTGGACAATCTTAGGGACAACTTCTATTGATTTTAAACCTCAGGGACCAAACTTATGGATGATGCAAATCTTAGGGACCATTTTGAATAAAAAACCTCAACTAAATGCCTCATTCATCATGATTAGATATTTTGGTAGCGAAAACGTTTTGAATAAGTTAGATTTGATCGAGATGACTAGTTAAGTTCAATTTAGCCGTGTTTCTGAAATGCATTGTAACCGTATTAGTTAAGCTCAGTTAGATTGCTCATGAACTATAAGAAGGCGTTTGTTTGCCCTCACTAAACCGTATTATAGCTTTTAGTCATACAATTAGAAATCCATTAGAATTAGTATATGGGTTTGACATACGGAGGATTCGTCCTTCACGCATTACCAAAAGCTCCAAAGTTTTTTCCTATAAACGTATAAAATCAAAGTCTGATCATAATCTCCTTATTTTTGGTGAATTAGTGAGTCTTAGAAGCTAATACAAGACATTGGAATTAAATTTAGAGGAAAAATTAAAATACCTGTCCGCTGTGGTTTTAAGATTCCGGCCACACAAATCTGCAGAAGCCTTAAGATCCTTCTCCACTGCTCGACCTCATCTGGATCTTCATCCCTTTCATGCTAACAAAGTTAAAAGAATAAGGTAAAGTGAGACACCTAATAAAAGTTTAGGTGGTAAAGTGAACAAATGAGCATATAGAGTGAAGTAAAATTTTGTCTACATAAGTGTCATAGAAATGCCTTTAATATTTTTTACATATAGAAAATAAATAGGGTTAATTACATCGATGTTCCCTGAATTTGTCATTTATCTTCATTTTCATTCTTAAACATTTTATTTGTTTTATATGATCTTCAAGCTCGCTATTGCATGACTTTTTTTTTTATATCCTTTTCGTCAACTTCATCTATTTTTCTATTAAGTAGAGATGATAAATTTAAAATTCATCCCACAACCTAAAAAATGGGAAAAAGGAGGTGGATGTACAAAATTCTTGCTATGCCCTCTATATTTAACAGAAAAATAAAAATAAATTGGTCAAAAATAGATTTTGTTAGATTAGTCACTAACGGGGTTCAAACTCACACCGTCATGCAAGATCTTAACTCATTTCCACCACTATAGTAAAGGGCCACTTGCAACCAAAAAATAAATTGAATTAATGGATATAATTGAATCACCACATGAGAGAGTTTGAGAACCACAATAAGAAAAAAAAAAAAGAAAAACTATTCTAGAACGAAAGTAAAATTCTTGACAACAATGTTGTATATTTGAAAAATAGTTCAAGCAGATTAAGATGTTAGCACAGAGTCATTTATCTCGTTTATTGAACAAACAACGAGGACATCAATGCCGTTTTTTCTCTTTTGAAATTCCTAAACAACAAAATTGAGATTTCTTTCACAAAAATTACCATAAATTTTGACAAAATTGACGGTCGAATTATAAATCCAGCAGGCAAATCGAAAACAATCACAGGAGCTTAGAACACACCACATCAACATTTAGCAAGCAGTCTCATAGGAAATCCCAATCAAGATAAAACTATTCAACAATTTATTACATTTCGTTCATATAAGAGCATGGTTAGGAGGATTATTTAATTGACGTTATAACATCTTTCTACAAAGAAAAAAATGAAAAAGAAAATAGGGCCTCGGCACCCGTGGCAAAACCCAACATGGATTAGAGTACGTTTCAGCCTGACCTTCTGTAAAAGCTATAGGCCACAGCCACTGTTGCCACTGCTCCAACCACGGCAGCAGCTGCGAGAACATCGCTTTGCTCCCAGTTCCCAATCAAGCTTGACAGCTTCCGTAAGGCATCCTTTGTGGCACACGACTCTGTGGTTTCTTTCGACTTCATTTCCTCACTTCCACCGTTCTCCTCCAAACTTACTTCTTTGCAGCATGTAAATCCATCACTATTAGCACCCTGGCAACAGCTTGAAAAGTTCTCATTATTCTCAATATGATTGCCCTTTTCTTGGTGAATCTGATTGCTATTTTCATGTGGCTTCTCCTTGATTTTCTTATTTTCTTCTCCATTTGGAAGTTCCCGGTCATTAATTTGTTCAGCTTCATCAGAAAATGCTCCCATTTGGCCTCTGTAAGGAATGAAATTGAATTTCGTGTTCAGCTATTTAAAGATTCAACTCTTAAGTTTCTTCAATGCAGTTACATCCAATTTAGAAACATATACAGAGTAATACTGTTGTATCCAATTCTTTTGTGCTTTCTCCACAGAAGTTCCTCGATGTTATTGTAACTCTATATCAATAAATCTATCATACAAGACTAGACATAACCATCAATTGAAAAATATGACAACACAAGCTTCCGTCCAGTGAAATTTTCATCCAAAGACAATAGGCAAAACCGAAAATCTACAAACCTCCAAAGTCGTTCTATAATCTCTCCCTTCCCAATATGCTCATCAAGCAATTCCGGCACATCATCAGGAGTGACGTAGCCATACCTGCAATTAATAATACATAATATTCAAATTTCATCGATCCCAATACGACAAAATTTTAGATTGTTATGATCCGAATATTACCAATGGCCTGTTATGCTTCCATCTGAACCTGGGCTGTAGATAATCAAGTTTCCATTGTGGCCTCCAGTGTGAAAGCAAGCAGCAACAAATATCTGATTCGTCAATCCTCGTAGCTCAGCCTCCTCTTTGAACTTATTAATGAGAACACATGCACTATCACGATTCCATTCCTCTCGACTACCATGTGCACATACAAATACATAGGAGCCAGTCAACGACTCTTGCACTCCGGAAGCCCATGGTTTGTGATTCACAAGGACATCATCAACAAAGCTGCCCACATCCGACTCTTTCAAGCCCCTTTGACAACAAACAAAAACAACCTCATAATCACAAAAAGGGATTTACAGGCAAGGAATTAGTCGTAAACTGAGCCATTAAATTCAAAGGAAAACTAATGAAAAGAGCTTGAAAACTTTGAGTTTTAACGATAAGGACAAAATAAAGGGTAAAGTGAATAGTACCAGGATTGACTTTTTAGTGCAAAAATGTGGTTTTTCGTTAAAGTGAAAAGTACCAAGAGCTTTTCGTTAAGGTTCCCTAAATTCAATTTCTACAACTAATTTCAGAAGCTAACACACATCTAATCATCTATTTAGGTCAGTGGATTCATGTTGGTTATGGAATGGGCCCTCCATTATGAATTAATTACGGTTTGCCATTGTGTGTGTTAGTGTGGGCCGTGCTTAACAGCTGGGTTGGGCTGCTGCATTTGGGCCCAGGGTGCAGCTCTCACGGGTTTTGGGCTGGGTTTCACCGAAATATCAAATGACTCTTTTGCCCCCTTCAGTCCTAATCCGACGGCCACCATTTGCGGCGTTTGTGGTCTGCAATTCGGTGGGGGGGGGAGGTGGGGTTAGCTTGCTTTCAATCTCGTCAAGGAGTTCGTGCAGAGAGGCAGGGGATGACATCAAGTTTAGGGTGTGCACAGTGAGAGAGAAGAGGGTAGGAGCTAGAGAGAGGGGGGTGGGTTCTGTCCGCGGACGTAGGTTGCAGAGAGACAGAGATGGGGAAAAGTATGGGGGTGGGGTTGAGGGGAACGTGTACACAGAGAGAGTGAGGAAGGGACATAGGAGCTAGAGGTATGGGAAAGGAGTCGAGGAGTTGAGGAGTCGAGGGGTTGAGGGGTTGAGGGGTTGATTTGTCAGGGGCTGCTGCATCCTTCCTATTCAAAAGGTAACAAATAATTTTCAATTCATTCTTTACCCTTGAATGTGGATTTACTGTTCGGGGTTGAGGAGGACATCATATATCTTCCCTTTTTCTGAATTTTAGTTCTGTCTTCTTCGACTCTTATATCTTCCCTTTTTCTGAATTTTCTTTATTTCTCATCCTTTAAACTTTGTATTTTTTTTAAATATTTATTTTTTTGGTGATGCAGATAGATGAACATGTTCAAAGGGGAATCATGAACCACAGATCACTGCATCCGAATATAGTTTGATTCAAAGAGGTCAGTGATCATAAACTATTTTCATTTTGTATTTTAAGAATGAATTTGGCAAGTTTTGTTTGAATTTTGTATAAGTATCTGCTGAGGGTGGGTGGATGAAGACAGAACAAACTAAATTTGGCCTCTGGTGTGCTTAAACTGGTACGGGGGAGGGTTAGAACTTTGAGCCCATGATGCAGTAGGACTAGAGAAATGCGGCAATCCACCACTTGCAGAATTATTGTCAAAATAACTCTGCTAAAAATATGAGCTATGCTTCCTGCACTTTGTTTTTACTGTGAAGTGGAAATAGTCTTTAGCGTGGCTTATTTGTGATAATTGATAAAGAGGTTAGTGTTTAAGACTTGAGAGTAGTGCGGTGTCTTTCTCGCTGGTTCTGATGATGGAGTACACGGCTGGGTGAGAACTCTTCGAGGGAATATGAGGATGAGATAAAGTAGTTTCAAATACAGGGAAAATTTCATTGGAAATGATTTTAGTTTAGTTTCAGCTAGGGAAAGTTAGGTCTGAAGCATTTTTACATAAACAGTCGGTCATAATATAACTAAAACTTACATACTTTTTCGATTTAATTGTTGTTTTGCATCAGGCAAAGTTTTTCTTCCAGCAGTTGATATCAGGAGTTAGTTGCTGTCATTTGATGGTATGTAATGTGGCACTTTTCTGCTAATGCGTTGTATACTGTTATTTATTTCTCTTTTGATATTGGAAGTGTTGGTTGTAGTAAGGAAATAATTCGTTTCAATAGTATACGACTTCGGTTTAATAGTATATGACTCAGTTTTTGAATAGCACTCAGGTGGTATTACGACTTAGTTTTCTAAATGCCAATAACAGCTCTAGATTTTGTCTCAAGTCAAGTATTCTTACTAATGTAGCATTTTGTTGGCACATCAGTATGTTTTGATTGTTTCTCTGCTTGAATAGAGAATTGTTAACGTCCGGGTGGGAACGTGGGTCAGCTCATGTTTTAGTCTCTCCGTCGTAAGCAATTTTACATGGTACTCTTCAATGTAGCTATAGGTAAGACAACACTCTCAGTATTCCATAATCAAACCACCATTTGAACTTTTTTTCATCCACCAAGTTAAGCTTTTATGTGCCATCTTGAATAGTTATAAGTTATTGCTTCAGATTACTCCAGTGCGACATTGTTGTTCTCTTCCTTACCTCTCAAGCTTGCTTAATATACCAATTCTTATTACTGTTGTATTGTTAAGAAATACTCAATTGCGGATTCAGTTCATCGTTTTGAATCGGATAAAAATTAACCACTCAGTGGTTAATTATCTAAATGGGCGGTAGGTCTCGGGTTCGAGACTTGTGAGCAGTCTCTCCATAAATGGGGGTAAGGCTAGCCGACATTCACCTCTCCCAGACCCTGCGTAAAGCGGGAGCCTTGTGCACTGGGTACGACCTTTTTAGTGGTTAATTATCTAAATCCTATAAATTCGGATAAAAATTAAAGCAACTACAGAACAAAAACCTCAAGAAATCAACGCAAATTTACCTGTATTTGATCATTTTTGGGCAAATCAACACATCGCCGTCGCAAAACTCAGTTCCTTCGCATCCTTCAATTACTGTCAACGTCGTCTATCAAATACCAAGAAAAAATGTGAGTAATGGAGTCAACTCAGCTCAACACCAGAACTCAGTAGCTCCAGGAAATAAGAATGGTAAGAAAAAGCAATCAGAAACGTCGACGAATTGAGCTGGAAAATGGACCTTAATGGTGAAGTCGTTCTCGCGAGCTTTGAGAGCGGATGCGAAGAACTTAGGGAGTGGATCGGACTCAGGGCCTTCGATGCGCCACGGCCAGGCCTCCAGGGTCTTGTAGCAAAGGAAAACGTGGTGATAGCTCAACAGTGTATCGTCGTCAGTGTCTTCATCAGACTCATATGACTTGGTCTTATAGTTGTCCCAAATAGTAAGAGCATCAGACAAATCCCATTTTACAATATCCACTCCTGTTTTGTTCAGCTTAATTATATTATCTCCTCCATAAAATCTTGCTTTTACAAGAACTATGTCGCCACCTTTCAAATTGAGCTTCTTGTTTGAAAGATTTCCCAACCAAAGATAATATTCATGGGAAGCAGTTATGGCGGCCTTAATTGTCCAGATGCTAAAATGAGTTCGTTGGGTACGATTAACAACATCAATGCATAGATCCCCAGTAGAGTTGGAGTTGTCTGAAGAATAAATGATGCCCAAAGCCAACCCTCCTATATAATCAATACTTGGCGGCACTTCAAATTTGACAGTTTTATCCTCTCCCGCGACATAGGCTAACCAGTTAGGAATATCATTTCCAGAGAGAAAAATTCCACCAAATGCATTTTTCTACAACATGGGGTGCAAAGTCAGTATAAGCAACAATACAAAAAGCAGAGAGAGAGAGAGAGAGTACCATACCGTTCGGAGGTTCTCCTTAAAAGTATCAGTGAGACTGGTACACCCTTCCATTTTAATGTAAATTATCGAACCCATGTAGTCCAACGAGTTCTTAAATTTTGGAATATCTTGAGTTTGCGGCAGTCTTTCAGTAACAATATCCTCATTTTCGACATCTCTGAAATGTCGGACATTATTTCCAGTGCAGTGCAGTAATTCGCTTGCAGTAAAAGCAAACTGTTCGGCAAATCTGGGATTTCCTGAAGGTTTGTGCAATGATCGAGAATTAATACCAGAAGCTGAGAAAGGCCACTGAGAATGGGTAGCCTATTAAAACCATTCCCACCTAGACCTAAAAATGTTAAAGAAGATAGACTCCCAATTATTTCGAGAACGGCACCATCTGTTATATTGCAGTCACTGAGATCTAATACGTCAATCATCTTCAGTTGTGCTAAAAAATGGTAACCCCCACACAAACCCTTACAGCCACTGAGCTCCAATTTATTGAGATGTGGGAGTTTTGAAAAGTCTGGTAATTCAGTCAGGTGATGACAGTCGTTAAGAAGGAGATACTTCAACTTCTTAGGCAACTGTTACTCAAAAAGAGAAAACAATAATAAAAATTCAAATAAATAAAAGAGAGAATGCATGATGATGACTGATGTTGATATTTACAAGGACATTGATAATTATATCGTACCAGGTCCGAATCCTCCCAAACTCGTACGATCTTGCTGTTGCTCAGGTTTAAATAAACTAGGTTTCGTTGATCAAAATCTGCTGGTATGGCTTCAAGAGGAAATCCAATCCAATCCAACGCTCTTAACTCCTTGGAAAGATGTTTGTAGCTTCCAGTCAGCTTTACATTAGCCAGGTCGAGAAATTTCAGACGCCACATCTTCTTAAACGCTTTCGTACTGAAGCTTTGCTCGTCATCAGAATGTTCTGGCAAAAATAAGTGTAGTCCTTCAACTGCTTCTGTTCCCTGTTAGAGATCCAAAATAAAAAAGGATAATATTCACACGAAGCATAGCTGTGAATTGGATGAATGAACTACTAGAAAGGTAGGGCATACAACATAATTATGTATTCTCTCTTTCAATTTACAATGGATGAAAGCCTTTTTTCTTAAAATACACTATGTACAACATACATTATATATATGCGGATATGCGTATATACTTCTCTTTATTTACATGTACTTAACATAACATCTTTTCATTGCAAAAGTACTTACAGATTCGTTCCTTAGCACGCTTTTTGCATCTTCACTATGCCACAAATGACTACGTTTTCCCAATTTCACAGGAGATTCTGCCCGCACAATTTCTCTTCCCATATCTCGAATCAAATCATGCATCCTCAATCTTTTCCTTTCATCAATATATAGGAGACATCGATCGCAGAGTGTGGTAATTTCTGCTTCTACAGAAAAACGACTACAACCATCCAATACTGGAGTGGCCACACTTATATGCACTCCAATAAAGAAATTAGATATGTCTAGGAACACACCCTTCTCATGATCATCACGTAGTCCATCGTAGCTTAATTTAAGCGTTTCATGAATTTTTCCGTCTGGAATATTTCTCAATTTATCCAATGTACTTTCCCATATGGTTTTACTCTTTTTCTTAGCCAACAAACGACCAACAACTTTCAGAGCTAGGGGCAATCCTCCACAATAATCAACAATATCTCTTGCCAATTCAATATATTCTTTATCGGGATAATCATTTCCAAAGGCATGCCAACTAAGGAGCTCAAAAGCTTCTTTCTCTGTCATTGCTTGTGCCTTATATTTTTTATCCACCTTTTGTATATTCAGCACATGTTCATCTCTTGTTGTTATAATAATTCTACTCCCTGGACCAAACGATTCATGTTCTATTGCCAATTCATCTAATTGGTCTGCATCATCTATGTCATCAACCACGACAAGTACCTTCATGCTTCCAAGTCTTTTCTTGATCTCTTTGGTCCCTTCGGCAACACTGCTTACCTTAATGTCAGGCTGTTTTAAAATATCTCGAAGAAGTTGTTCTTGCAAACTAACCATCGCTTTCTTTTTACTCCTCACATCTTCAAGGTAACATTGACGACTAAAACTATGCTGATAATTGCTACAAACGGCTCTGGCAAGCATTGTTTTACCTATACCGCCCATACCACAAATTCCAATTATTCGAACATCAGGTGAACCTCCAACGTCTAAGTATTTAGTACAAAATTCTTGCAAGCGAAAAGCCATTCCAACTAAGTGCTTGGCTTCTTTAAAGTCTGTGGTTTTCAGTAGTCCTTTGACGTCCCCAACAATTTTCTCGATAAACACCCCTTCACACCTACGAGTAGAAATTCCAAATTACGAGAGCCATACTAAATGCCTTATTCATAATGACTAGATATTTACATATTGAAACATATTTGAATAAACTGGATTAATTGAGCTCAATTCAACCACGTATCCAATCTTTGATTATAATGTGAATACATTAGATCATTGGTGATTTGACTATTATGCAATTGTAGCTTTCAGTAATATAATTAAGAATCCATTACAATTGGTATTTTAAATTGATAAAGTGTGGAGCATTTGTCCTTCACACACCCATAAAAAACAAAGCACGTACCCTGCGCTTCACTTCCTTAATTTCCACGGAAATTATTATGCAAATGCTCTACCTTTTATAAAATTCATATACCAATTGTAATAAATTTTTATGTAGGGACCAAAATTACAGTTCTATTATAGTTCAGAGATCAACGATCCAATTTTTCTTATGACATATAAAATCAGATTCAATGCCTTAATTATAATATCTTAATTTTGGTTGATTAGTGAAATATGGTGATATGAAATTTGAAGTAAACAAAAAAGTATACCCGTCGGCCGTGGTTTTGAGGTTCCAGCCGGCCAAATCTGCAGAAGCCTTAAGATCCTCTCTCCACTGCTTGACCTCATTTGGATCTTCATCCTTTTCATGCTTCTGAAATGCTTCCCCAAAACTATCTTTCTGTTTCCTGACTTGAGAAGGGTCAACGTCGTAGAATATTGGACACACTATCTTCCCCTCTTGATCTTTTAGGCACCTCATGATCTTCGACAGCTCCCTCAGGCACCACCGGGACTCCGCGTACCTCTTCGAGAAGACGATGACAGCGATCCTCGACCCTTCGATTTCTTGGTCAAGTTCACTCTGTATGTCTTCCCCCCTTCTGAGCTGTTTGTCTATAAACGTGTTAATTCCGGCATTGCGTAACGCAATGAAGAGGTGGTCTGTGAAGGTGTTGCGGGTATCTTCGCCTCTAAAGCTCAGGAACACCTCGTACTTCCAGCGGTTTGAGCTCTGCGAGGAAGACGAAGAGGCGGCAGAGCCAGCTCCTTGGGCGGAGCTGCTGGTATCCATTGCAGACCGTAGAAGTGCAGCTTGGCTTTCAAATAACCAAAGTCAAGTCTTTACCCAGTGTCGGTGGCCGTTTTAGATATTTTGCATGGGCCAATAATGTCACTGCTGTGTCGATAACGCGCTCCCACAGTTTAATTTGTATAAATGCTTTACGATGCAATTTCCTTTCTTTTGTAGTCTTTTGAGAATCTGCCGCCCAACTTTGACCGGTTGACGATCTTATTGTATTATAAGATGTGCATTTTGATTATCATCATTTAATGTGATGTATGTTCATCAAATTATTTATTATTATTAGATGAGTTTAAATTTTAAGATTTGTACTTATGCACTACCCACCCGAATCTCGAAATTCAAACACATTTAACGATGATAAATAGAATGATAAACATATATCATACTAAATAATGGTGAGCAAAAATGCTCCCGTATTTTAAGGGTGGTGCGCAGCACGTTCCAACTGTTGGAGTCAGTAGTATCAACGGGAAGAGACCTCATCTCCAACAACCCATCTTAACAAAAAATGCAGAAAATTAAACTCCAACAGGCTAACTAAATGACTCTTTATTTTGTGAACGGTAACTAACTAAATTTAACCAGGAGACATTCGTAGCTTACGTCAAAAGGATCAATGTTGTAATATAAGTAATTTACTTGCTCAAAATAAGGATCAATTTAGCTACGAAAGCAGGGAGATGATCGAGCTCACGATAGCAGATTTTTTTATCCTATCGTCTTGCAAGGGAAACAAGCTACCAATTGCTTGCATCATCTGAAGCCATCCAACTAATGGTTGAATTTCTCAGTCAAGACTATGCTCAAGGCATCAGTGTGCAGGCCAGACTCGACAGCATAGCCACACTACACAACCTCTCGCGCTGCCATCAGATTATTCCGTCTCTGGTCTCTTCGGGCGTAGTGTTTTCAATGCTAAAACTGCGGCATGGAAGCTGTTTCTTTTTGAGACTGTTCCAATTATGGTTCGAGAAACAAGCAGTCAAGGAATAAGTTGATGGGGTGAGTACAACGGCATTGAGACTGTTCCAATTATGCAGGAAGTTGATGCAGAAGGAGAAAAAGTTGACGGGGTAAGTACAACGGCATTGAGACTGGTAGAGGAGAAGCTTGCAAAGATCAGCAGTGGACGATAATCTCGACCAAACTCTGAGCTTTGCCAAGCAGATTAAGATGTTGGAACAGCCGTTCATCTTGTTTATTGAACAAACGAGGAGGACAACAATGCAGAATCAACGCTTGAATTCAAAGTCCCAACAGGCAAATCGAAAATAATCACAAGAGCTTAGAAAATACCACACCAACATTTGGCAAGCAGTCTCACAACAAATCCCACTATCAAGATAAAACCATTCAACGGTGTGTTGGAACAACAGATTTCAGTTGTGTAAGCAATCAACATAAAGGAACAGTGAATACTTTTGTAACTATATATGGATTAGCTTCGGGAATTCATCAAACCCTCCGAAAAAGAACGTATAGTGTAGCTACCATATTCTCCTTTCATATAAGAGCTTATTTAATTGACGTTATAACACCTTTCTACAAAGAAAAAAAAGAAGAAAATAGGGCCTCTACACCCATGGCAAAACCCGACATGGATTAGAGTACGTTTCAGCCTGACCTTCTGTAAAAGCTATAGGCCACAGCCACTGTTGCCACAGCTCCAACCACGGCAGCAGCTGCGAGAACATCGCTTTGCTCCCAGTTCCCGATCAAGCTTGACAGCTTCCCTAAGGCATCCTTCCTGGCACACGACTCTCTGGTTTCTTTCACCTTCTTTTCCTCACTTCCATTGTTCTGCTCTAAACTTACTTCTTTGCAGCATGTAAATCCATTACTATTAGCACCCTGGCAACAGCCTGAAAAGTTCTCATTATTCTGAATCTGATTGCCGTTTTCTTAGGGCTTCTCCTCCATTTTCTTACTTTCTCCTCCATTTGGAAGCTTCTGGTCATTAATTTTTTCAGCTTCATCCGAAGATGCTCCCATTTGGCCCCTGTAAGGAATGAAATTGAATTTCGAGTTCAGCCATTTAAAGATTCAACTCTATGTTTCATCAATAGCAATCGAGTAAGGACATGTATGATCAAGCTTAATAAACAATTTGACAACAGTACCTACTTGACCCCGTCCCCCCTTCCCCAAAACCACCTTTGGTTTGGTTCTATAAAAAAAAAAAAATTGTTTGATTTGGTTCACACGAGTTGTTTGATTTGGTTCCTCAATGTTAATGTAACTCCATATCAATAATCTATCTTCCAACACTATAAGTAATCAGCAATAGGAAAATATGACAACAGAAGCTTCAGTTCCAGTGAACTTTTCATCAGCAGACGGTTGGCAAAACCGAAAACACACAATCCTCCAAAGTCGTTCTATGATCTCTCCCTTCCCAATATGCTGATCAAGCAATTCCGGCACATCCTTAGGAGTGACGTAGCCATACCTGCAATTATTAATACCATAATATTCAAATTCCTTCATCTATCCCAATACAATAAATTTTACATTGTTATGATCCGGATATTACCAATGGCCTGTTATGCTTCCATCTGAACCTGGGCTGTAGACAATCAAGTTTCCAGCACACTTGTGGTCTCCAATGTGAGAGCAAGCAGTAACAAATACCTGATTTGTCAATCCTCGCAGCTCAGCCTCCTCTTTGAACTTATCAATGAGAATAGGTCCACAAACTCCACATTTTTATCTCGACTTCCATGTAGACCTGTAAACGGGTTAGGTTTATTGGGTTTGGGTCGGGTTGAACCCGACCCGTTAAGTTAACGGGTCACCCGAACCCGACCCGTTAAGCTAACGGGTCACCCGAACCCGACCCGTTAAGCTAACGGGTCACCCGTTTCACCCGTTAACACCCGTTAACAATTATTATTATTTTTTTTTTGCATAAAGTTTATTTTTTGTTATTAAAACTTTACTAAAATTACTAAAATATCCTCAACTAACGGGTGCTAACGGGTGTTAACGGGTCTAACGGGTTGACCCAAAGTGACCCGTTATTTAACGGGTGTTAACGGGTTCACCCGTTAGCGACCCGACCCGTTAAGCATCCACCCAAATACAAATATTAACGGGTTGGGTCGGGTTAACGGGTTGGGTCCAAAATGCCAGGCCTACTTCCATGTGCACATACAAATACATGGGAGCCAGTCAACGCCTCTTGCACTACGGAAGCCCATGGTTTGTCGTTCACAAGGACATCAATTGGTTAGAAACCAAGCCATGTTACCGGCACACAGCCTCAGAGTAAACAAGGAAAATTTCAAGGTATCAACACTAAAACTAGTCCAAAACACACTAAATTAGCTCAATTCGAGACTTCGTAAATTGAAATGGGAAAATCATAAACTCTATCTCTAGTTAGCAATCATCGAAATCTCCTAGTCAAATAAAGCAAATCTGAAGAATCAAAACACCACTCACTGGTTAATTATCTAAATCCTATAAATTTCGGTTAAAATTAAGCAACTACAGAACAAAAACATCTTTACCTGTATTTGATCATTTGTGGGAAAATCAACACTTCGCCGTCGGAAAACTCAGTTCCTTCGCGTCCTTTAATTACTGTCGGGTCTATCAAAAACCAAGAAAAAAGTGAGTAATGGAGTCAACTCAGCTCAACACCAGAACTCAGTAGCTCCAGTAAATAAGAAACGGCAAGAAAAGCGAAACGCCGACGAGTTGAACTGCAAAACGGACCTTAACGGCGATGTCGTTCTTGCGAGCTTTGAGAGCGGAGGCGAAGAACTTAGGGAGCAGAACGGACTCAGAGCCTTCGACGCACGACGGCCAGGCCTCGGGGGTCTTGTAGCAGAGTAAGACGTGGCGGTCGTACGCGTTGACAGTGCCAGCAAGTTTTTCCTTGCACATCTCCAATCTCTTGAAACCGAACCTCTCGTCTTCGGTGGCTGGAACGGCGACGTCGAGGTCATCGGAGACCATTGCTAGGGCTCGGAGAGGAGGGAGGGGTTTACCAGGGGTTGAAGTTGAAAACGATGAGAGGGAAAAGATGAGAGAGAAAGAGCGTTGTTGTTTGGTTGTTGTGTTGATATAACGAGGAGGCTGAGAAGGGAACCGCGGTGTCGGTGTGGGTGTAGGTGCGTGCGCAACACATACGGCGCACGATGGGGTTTCTGAAGATCGGAGTCGGGACGCGTGGGATTGGGCACGTGGGGTTTGATTTGTAGTTCATGTATATACCTCTTTTTTGAGAATAAAGATTTTTTTTGGATCCTCTTTGTAGGGATTTTATAGTTTGTGTATCGTATTCATTCATTGTAAATCAGACGGTTAGAAATTACTTTAAATCTATAAATTTAAAATTAAACACAAATAATATTTAAAGAAAATTGACTGCATAATTAATACGATAAACGAACACAATTAAAAAATTCTCAGAATCCTCGTAAAAAGAATCCGAACTCTTTTGATGTCTCCGATCATATCGGACGGAAGCTAAAAGATAATTCGTGCACGCAAAAATGGAAGGTCCTACAAACGGAGGAGGACCACTCTCTATTCCCGGGAAGTGGGGTACAAGCGCGTATGTATATATCACCCAATGGGGCACCAATATGTTGTACTAGCAGGGAACTGAATGAGGTGAAATTGGAAAATCCCTTAAACTTGGTGATGTGGCGACCTGTGATTCGGCCTTCACATTCTGTCAAGAAACAGGCCGGTCACTTTGTTGATTAAGTCAAGCAGTCAGCCTTAGCCCGACGTGGACAAGTTCTGGAAGTCTTGTTTCGCTCATTTATTTATTTCTTGTCAATGACGTGTAATATTTGATTTCATTTGTTTTTTTGGTGGACTAATATTAAATATACTTTTGTCAATGAATTAATGATACAATTTAGAACGGTGATATTCACACATTTTGCACATATTCTTCAATTTGATAGTTGAAAATTGAGAAGAATGTGTGTGAAATGTAAAAAGAACGTGTAAATAGCATATCCCTACAATTTAATATAAAGGAATGTAGATTTCAAACAACGATTGTTTTTTAAGGTAACGCTTTTGTTCTTGATTTTTCATGTTTGAGCTTGAAATGAACCGCTTTCATAATCTATTGTATTACTTTGTGTTCAGTTGAATAAAGTATCTTTTTCCAACGAAAAATAAACGGAATGGCATTTAAATAAGGAGTGTAGAGAGTGTATGCGTAAGGAAAGAGGCATGCAAAATTCATTTCAGCTCATACATCTTTGTGTTGCTTATGTTGGTCTTTCAATTAATTATGTTGAGAGTGAGGAAATAAATTGTACTTAGCAGTGTCAAATTACAACCCTAATCGAAAAACGTCTTGTTCGCCGGACCTACTCGACTGCTCCGAACAATGTAAGGCCGAAAGGCGGACGATACATAATCGGGTTTTTTCGAAGTAGGCATTCATAAACATCAAGGAAGCATACTTGGTAGAAAATGAAAGATCCTCAACTTCATTCCTCAAATTTTCAATGCAATTGAATTTCCTCAAATCTAAGGAACTACCAGATTGTAATGCTTGCAATGGAAGGGAACCATTGTGTACATGTAGCATCCACATGAATCAGTTGGAGGCTTGTTGGAGTTTTTAACGGAATGACCAAAATGATGGATGGTAGACAATCTCAAGGACCACTTTTGATTATTTACCCTTCTATTGAATTTGCAAAGGGGAAGAAGTTTTAAATCCATTACAAAAGAGATAATTGCAGCATGATTGATAACATGCTCATCACGTGATTGGGTTCCTAAAATTCCCAGGTTGTTGCAGGCTTCCTCGTCCTTGTAGAATATTTTGTTCAACAATTCCAGAGAAAAACAATTATTCGATTCGTTTCAGGTAACAGATGAGTAGCTTAATTCAAAACTTGTTTTCGTTCTAGAAGTTTAGATTATACAAGTGAATGGTCAATATGATATACTCGATAAAATTACATGTCTCCTTTTAAATTTAAAGTTCATTATTTTGAAGTGATTTTTGGAATTTAATTTTTCAATTTATTTGATTGAGAGGTGAGGAATTGGAGATAATTAATTATGTTTGGGGGTTAACTGGTATCCTCTAGAATATGTTTTTTTTTTTAATGAGGAATCCTCTAGAAAATGTTTAACTTTATTTTAAATTTTCATGTGGTTTTGGCTTCAATGAGGCAATGGCATATGTGTAAATAAACAAAAGTTTAATTCTAACCTAAGGGGGCTGACGGAAGTCAGGGGCATGGATGGAAAAGGAGTTTCTTACTTTGCACGTGGGGCTTTATTGTTTGGGTTATTCCTCCTAGCTTTTGTCATTTTCATTAAAATTTAAATCTTTTTATTAAGTAAAATTATTAAATAGTTTTTTTATTAAGAAATTGTTATTAGGATTCTAAAAATCTCATTTAGCATTCTAAATTTTTTATAATTAGAAAAAAAAATACACTTATAAGAAGTGTAAATGAGATTTTTGAAATGCTAATAACAATTCGATTTTATTAATAAAAAGTTTGAAGAAGGCCTTTTCATTAAAATTCCCCCAAAAAAAAAGGAGTATGCTTCTTCCTAAAACGCTTCTTTAGGCCATATAAACAAACAGTGAGACGTAAAAACATGCCCCAACCTCAAATATTTCTCTCACAAACAAGGAGAGAATTTTCAGTGTGACCGGTACACAAGGTGGTACACCACGTATCACTAAACAAATAATAGGATATGTGTGCTAAAAAGTTAATAACTTAAAAAATAAAATTTCCCACTATTCTTATTAAAACACGTGATGTATCACTTATATTCCCGTCACAACTAAAAATTTCCCTACAAACAGAGAGACGTAAAAACATGCTGCCATGGGCTTCAGAGAGGAAAAAAGATCAGGAAAAAAAATGACCTGATTGGGTAAGACTTGTACACAAGTTTGTAGTAAATGTCTACGTACCTTCCTTACAAGTCTGTCTCTTTACTGTGCTTTCCTTCAATTCACTGTTGTTTCTTCATCGTCAAAGCTTTCAATATTAAGATCAAACCTTAATGTTTTGCAGACCTCATCAGATGAGTGATCTCTTAACTCTGTACCATTGTGGGTGTCGTCATCAAACTCATATGGTATAGTCTAATAGTCTGCCTCATCAGTATCATCATCTCACTCTAATGGTACACGCTCATAGTTCACATTTTTTATTTCTGAAGGTAAACAATGTTCCCATCCTACAAAATTCACTCCTGTTTTCTTCACCTTACGAACCTTGTCCCCCCTTTTCAGATTGAGCTTCCTGTTTGAAAGACTTCCCAGCCAAAGATAATCTTCATGGGAATCAGTTATGGTGGCATCCATTCACCAGATGGAAAAATAAGTTCTCTGGGTAACCACATCGAGGCATAGAGACCCACTACACTGGGATGGTCCGAAGAATAAACGATGCACACAGCCAACCCTCCTATATAATCAAAACTTGGCGGCACTTCAAATTTGACATTTTCTTCCTCTCTCACGACATAGGTTAACGATTAAGGAATAACATTTCAAGAGCGACAAATTTCACCAAATACATCCCCCACCTTCCATTTCTACAACACGGCGTGCAAAGTTTGTATAAGCAAACAATACGAGAAGGGCAGAGCGAGAGAGAGAGAGAGAGAGAGAGAGAGAGAGAGAGAGAGAGAGAGAGAGAGTATCATGCAACAAAACATAAAAACTCATCTGGGAGAATTATGACTCTTGTGAATTGGTAGTATTATCGATGCATATGTTATATGATCTTCAAACTCGCTATAGCGTGACTTTTTTTTTTTGTATCTTTTTCATCAACTTCATTTGTTTTTTTTTTTTTTCAAGTAGAGCTGATAAACTTAAAATTTATCCACAACCTAAAAAATGGAAGAAAAAAAAAGAGGTGGATGTACAAAATCCTTGCTATGCCCTCTATATTCAACAGAACAATAAATTGAGTTAACGGATATAATTGAAGTACCATATTTGATTGTGTTTGAGAACCATAATAAGGAAAAAAAAAAACTACTCTAGAATGAAGGTAAAACTCGTGACAACAATGGTGTACATCTAAAAAATAGTTCAAGCAGATTAAGATGTTAGCGCATAGACAAATATCTCGTTTATTGAACAAACGATGAGGATAACAATGCCGTTTTCTCTCTTTCGAAATTCATAAACAACAAAATTGAGATTTGTTACACAAAAATTACCATAAATTTTGACAGAATTGGCGGTTGAAATATAAGTCCAGCATCCAAATCGAAAACAATCATAGGAGCTTAGAAAATACCACATCAACCTTTAGCAAGTAGTCTCATAAGAAATCCCAATCAAGATAAAACCATTCAACAGTTTATTAGACTTCTCCTTTCATATAAGAGCATGGTTCGGAGGATAATTTAATTGACCTCATAACATCTTTCTACAAAGAAAAAATGAAAAAGAAAATAGGGCCTCGACACCTGTGGCAAAACCCGACATGGATTAGAGTACTTTTCTGCCTAACCTTCTATAAAAGCAATAGGCCACAACTACTATTGCCACTGCTCCAATCAAGCTTGACAGCTTCCGTAAGGCATCCTTCCTGGCACACGACTCCCTGGTTTCTTTCGGCTTTTTTTCCTCACTTCCACCGTTCTCCTCCAAACTTACTTCTTCGCAACATGTAAATCCATCACTATTAGCACCCTGGCAACAACCTGAAAAGTTCTCATTATTCTCAATTTGATTGCCCTTTTCTTGGTGAATCTGATTGCCATTTTCTTGTGGCTTCTCCTCAATTTTCTTATTTTCTTCTCCATTTGGAAGCTCCCGGTCATTGATTTCTTCAGCTTCATCAGAAGATGCTCCCATTTGGCCCCTGTAACAAATGAAATTGAATTTCGTGTTCAACTATTTAAAGATTCAACTCTAAGTTTCGTCAATATCAATTGAGTAAGAACATGTATGATCAAGCTTAATAAACAAATCACAACCACATTACAAATAAAAACATATACAGGGTAATGCAGTTATATCCAATTCTTTTGTGCTTTCTCCACAAAAGTTCCTCCATGTTAATGTAACTCTATATCAATTAATCTATCATACAAGACTAGACATAATCAGCAATTGAAAACTACGACAACACAAGCTTCCGTCCAGTGAAAATTTCATCCAAAGATAGGCAAAACCAAAAACGTACAAACCTCCACAGTCGTTTTATAATCTTTCCCTTCCCAATATGCTCATCAAGCAATTCCGGCACATCATCAGGAGTGACGTCGCCATACCTGCAATTAATAATACATTTTATTCAAATTCCATTGATCCCAATACAACAAAATTTTAAATTGTTATGATCCGAATATTACCAATGGCCTGTTATGCTTCCATCTGAACCTGAGCTATAGATAATCATGTTTCCATTGTGGCCTCCAGTGTGAAAGCAAGCAGCAACAAATACCTGATTCGTCAATCCTCGCAGCTCAACCTCCTCTTTGAACTTATAAATGAGAACACGTGCACTATCATGATTCCATTCCTCTCGACTACCTTGTGCACATACAAATACATGGGAGCCAGTCAACGGCTCTTGCACTCTGGAAGCCCATGGCTTGTCATTCACAAGGACATCATCAACAAAGTTGTCCACATCCGACTCTTTCAAACCCCTTTGATCAAGAAACAAAAACAATCCCAAAATCACAAAAAGGAATTTACAGGAAACAATAACCTAACACTCTTTAATTCCTTATAAGGCAAGGAATTAGTCTTAAATTGAGTCATTAAATTAAATTTCTAGTACTAATTTCAGAAGATAACACATATCTAATTATCTACTTAGTTCATGACATTTAGCACAATTTCGTAATCAAAAGAGAAGTCGAAACAGAAATTACTTCAGTCAAAACTAGGAAAATAAATTGCACTGCTCATCTTGGTTATGGAATGGGCCCTTGATTATGAATTAATTACGGTTTGCCATTGTGTGCGCTAGTGTGGGCCGTGCTTAACAACTGGGTTGGGCTGCTGCATTTGGGCACAGGGTGCAGCTCTCAAGCGTTTTGGGCTGGGTTTCACCGAAAGATCCAATAACTATTTTGCCCCCTTCAGTCCTAATCCAACGGCCACCATTTTGGGCGTTTGTGTTCTGCAATTCAGTGGTTGGGGGTTGGGGGTTGTGGTGGGGGGGGGGCGTCAGGATCTCTTCAAGGAGATCGTGCAGAGAGGCAGCGAGATGTTTCGGTTCTGTCTTCTTCGACTCTTATATCGTCCCTTTTTTCTGAATTTTCTTTATTTCTTATCCTTTAAACTTTGTATTTTTTTTTTTGGTGATGCAGATAGATGAACATGTTCAAAGGGAAATCATGAACCACAGATCACTGCATCCGAATGGACCGAATATCGTTTGATTCGAAGAGGTCAGTGATCATAAACTATTTTATAAACTATTTTCATTTTGTTTTTTAAGAATGAATTCGGCAAGTTCTGTTTGAATTTTGTATAAGTATCTGCTGATGGTGGGTGGATGAAGACAGAACATGCTAAATTTGGCCTTTGGTGTGCTCAAACTGGTACGGGGGATGGTTAAAACTTTGAGCCTGGGATGCAGTAGGACTAACAGAAATCCACCACTTGCAGAATTGTTGTCAAAATAACTCTGCTAAAAATATGAGCTATACTTCTTGCACTTTGTTTTTACTGTGAAGTGGAAATAGTCTTTAGAGTGGCTTATTTGTGATAATTGATAAAGAGGTTTGTGTTTAAGACTTGAGAGTAGTGCGGTGTCTTTCTCGCTGGTTCTGCTCACACCACCTCATCTAGCCATTGTGATGGAGTACACGGCTGGGTGAGAACTCTTCGAGAGAGTATGCAGTGCTGGCAGATTTAGTGAGGATGAGATAAAGTAGTTTCAAATGCACAGAAAATTTCATTGGAATTGATTTTAGTGTAGAGTCTCAAATATGGGATCTCTAAATGTCCCCTGAAATGGAATCCATCTCGATTTTTGCTTAGTTTCAGATAGGGAAGGTTATGTCTGAAGCATTTTTACATAAACAATCAGTCATAATATAACAAAAACGAACTTACTTTTTCGATATAATTGTTGTTTTGCATCAGGCAAGGTTTTTTCCTCCAGCAATTGATATCAGGAATTAGTTGCTGGCTTTTGATGGTATGTAATGTGGCACTTTTCTGCTAATCGTATACTGTTATTTCTCTTTTGATATTGGAAGTGTTGGTTGTAGTAAGGAAATAATTCGTTTCAATAGTTTACGACTTAGTTTTAATAGTATATGACTCAGTTTTTGAATAGCACTCGGGTGGTTTTTGAATAACAGTATTACGACTTAGTTTTCTAAATGCCAATAACAGCTCTAGATTTTGTCTCAAGTGGAGTATTCTTACTAATGTAGCATTTTGTTGGCGCATCAGTATGTTTTGATTGTTTCTCTGCTTGAACAGAGAATTGTTAACGTCCAGGTGGGAACGTGGGTTGGCTCATGTTTTAATCTCTCCGTTGTAAGCAATTTTACATGGTATTCTTCAATGTAGCTATAGGTAAGACAACAGTCTCAGTATTCCATAATCTAACCACCATTTGAACTTTTTTCATCCACCAAGCTAAGCTTTTATGTGCCATCTTGAATGGTTATTATAAGTTATTGCTTCAGATTACTCCAGTGCGACATTATTGTTCTCTTCCTTACCTCTCAAGCTTGCTTAATGTCCTTATTCTTATTACTGTTGTATTGTTAAGAAATACTCAAATGCGGTTTCAGTTCATCATTATGAATCAGATTAAAATTAACCACTCACTGGTTAATTATCTAAATCCTATAAATTCAGATTAAAATTAAAGCAACTACAGAACAAAAACCTCAAGAAATCAACACGAATTTACCTGTATTTGATCATTTGTGGGAAAATCAACACATCGCCATTGGAAAACTCAGTTCCTTCGCGTCCTTCAATTACTGTCAGCAACGTCTATCAAAAACCAAGAAAAAAGTGAGTAACGGAGTCAATTCAGCTCAACACCATAACTTAGTAGCTCCAGGAACTAAGACACGGTAAGAAAAAATAATCGGAAATGCTGACGAATTGAGCTGGAAAAGGGACCTTAACGGTGATGTCGTTCTTGCGAGCTTTGAGAGCGGATGCAAAGAACTTAGGGAGTGGATCGGACTCAGAGCCTTTGATGCGCCATGGCCAAGCCTCGGGGGTCTTGTAGCAGAGGAAAACTTGGCGATTGCTCAACTGCGTATCGTCCTTAGTGTCTTCATCAGACTCATATGACATAGTCTCATAGTCGTACCAATTAGTACGACCATCAGACAAATCCCATTTTACAATATCCACTCCTGTTTTGTTCACCTTAATAATTGTATTATCTAGTCCAGAAAATTCTGCTTTTACAAGAACCATGTCACCGCTTTTCAGATTGAGCTTCTTGTTTGAAAGATTTCCCAACCAAAGATAATATTCATGGGAAGCAGTTACGGTGGCCTTCATTGCCCAGACGCGAAAGTTAGTTCGCTGGGTACGATTAACAACACCAATGGTTAGAATCCCAGTACAGTCAGAGTTGTCCGAAGAATAAACGATGCCCAAAGCCAACCCTCCTATATAATCAATACTTGGCGGCACTTCGAATTTGACAGTTTCATCCTCTCTTGCGACATAGGCTAACCAGTTAGGAATATCATTTCCAAAGAGAAAAATTCCACCAAATGCATTTTTCTACACCATGGGGTGCAAAGTTAGTATAAGCAACAATACGAGAGAGAGAGAGAGAGAGAGAGAGAGAAAGAGAGAGAGAGTACCGTTTTGGAGGTTCTCCTTAAAAGTATCAGTGAGACTGGTACACCCTTCCATGTGAATTGATTCCATGTAGTCCAATGAGTTCTCCAAGTTTGGAATATCTTTGAGTTTGCGGCAGTCTTTCAGTTCCAATTTCCTCATTTTCGACATCTCTGAAAAGTCGGACGTTATTTCCAGTGCAGTGCAGTAATTCGCTTCCAGTAGAAGCAAACTGTTCGGCAAATCTGGGATTGCCTCAAGGTTTGTGCAATGATTTAGATGTAATTCCTGAAGCTGAGAAAGGCCATTGAGATTGGGCAGCCTATTAAAACCATTCCCATATAGAACTAAATATTTTAAAGAAGATAGACTCCCAATTATTTCGAGAAGGGCACCATCTGTTATATTGCAGTCGCTGAGACCTAATGCCTCAATCATCTTCAGTTGTAGTAAAAAATGGTAACCCCTACACAAACCCTTACAGCCACTGAGGTTCAATTCCTCGAGATGTGGGAGTTTTGAAAAGTCTAGTAATTCAGTCAGGTTATGGCAGTCTTTAAGAATGAGACACTTCAACATCTTAGGCAACTTCTTAGGCAACTGTTACTCAAAAAGTGAAAACAATAATAAAAATATAAATAAATAAAAGAGAGAATGCATGCCGATGACCGATGTTGATATTTACAAGGACATTGATAATTATATCGTACCAGGTCTGAATCATCCCAAACTCGTACAAGCTTGCTATTTCTCAGGTCAATAAAAACTAGGTTTCGTTGATCAAAATCTGCTGGTATGGCTTCAAGGGGAAATCCATCCCAAACCAACAATCTTAACTCCTTGGAAAGATGTTTGTAGCTTCCAGTCAGCTTTACAATTTCCAGCCGGATAAATTTCAGACGCCGCATCTTCTTAAACGCTTCTGTACTGAAGCTTTCCTCGTCATCAGAATCTTCTGGCAACCTTAAGTTTAGTCCTTCAACTGCTTCTGTTCCCTGTTAGAGATATAAAAAAAAAAAATGATAATATTCACACGAAGCAGAGCCGTGAATTGGATGAATGAGCTACTAGAATGGTAGGGCATACAACATAATTAATTATGTATTTTCTCTTTCAATTTACAGTGGATGAAAGCCTTTTCTTCTTTTTCTTCAAATATAGGCATACATTATATATATGCGGATATGTGTATACACTTCTCTTTCTTTACATGTACTTAACATAACATCTTTTTATTGCAAAAGTACTTACTGATTCGTTCATGAGCACGTTTTTTGCATCTTCACTATGCCACAATCGGCTACGTTTTCCCAATTCCACAAGAGATTCTGCCCGCACAATTTCTCTTCCCATATCTCGAATCAAATCATGCATCCTCAAGTATCCCTCTTCATCAATATATAAGAGACATCGTTCGTAAAGTGTGATAATTTCTGCTTCTACAGAAAAACTACTACAACCATCCAATATTGCCGTGACAAAAATTTTACTCCATCCAATAAAGAAACAAGATATGTCAAGGAATACACCCTTCACATGATCATCACGTAGCCCATCGTAACTTAATTTAAGCGTTTCATGAATTTTTCCATCTGGAATATTTCTCAATTTATCCAATGTACTTTTCCATATGCTTTTACTCTTTTTTGTAGCCAACAACTTCAAGAGCTAGGGGCAATCCTCCACAATAATCAATAACATCTCTTGCGAGCTCAATATATTCTTTATCTGGACAATCATTTCCAAAGGCATGCCAACTAAGAAGCTTAAGAGCTTCGTCATCAGTCATTCCTTGTGCTTTATATCTTTTATCCACCTTTTGTATATTCAGCACTTGTTCATCTCTTGTCGTTATAATAACTCTGCTCCCTGGACCAAACGAGTCATGTGCTATTGCCAATTTATCTAATTGGTCCGCATCATCTATGTCATCAACCACGACAAGTACCTTCATGCTTCCAAGTCTTTTCTCTATCTCCTTGGTTCCTTCGGCAACACTGCTTACCTTAATGTCAAGCCGTTTCAAAATATCTCGAAGAAGTTGTTCTTGGAGACTAACCATATTTTTCTTGTTACTCCTCACCTCTTCAAGGTAACATTGACTGCTGAAACTGTGACTATATTTGCTACAAATCTCTTTGGCAAACGTTGTTTTACCTATACCGCCTGTACCCCAAATTCCAATTATTTGAACATCAGGTGAACCTCCAACGTCTAAGTATTTAGTGTTGAATTCTTTCACGCGAAGAGCTATTCCAACTGAGTGCTTGGCATTTTTGAAGTCTCTGGGGGTCAATCGTCCCTTGATGTCCCCAATAATTTTCTCAATAAACACTCCTTCGCGCCTACAAGTAGAAATTCCAAATTACAAGAGCCATACTAATGCCTTATTCATCATGACTATATATTTACATATTGAAACAGGTTTGAATAAATTGTGATTTACTGAGCTCAATTCAACAACGTATTTAATCTTCAATTATAATGTGAATAGATTAGATCATTGGTCATTGGACTATTACACCATTGTAGCTTTCAGTTATATAATTAAGAATCCATTACAATTGGTATTTTAATTTGATAAAGTGTGGAGCATTTGTTCTTCACACACCCATAAAAAACGAAGCATTGTACCCTGCATTTCACTTCCTTAGTTTTGACGGCAATTCATATGCAAATGCTCTACCATTTATAAAATTCATATACCAATTCTAATAAATTTTTATGCAGTGACCAAAATTACAATTCTATCATAGTTCAGGGACCAATGATCCAATTTTTCTTCTAACATATAAAATCATATTCAATGCCTTAATTATAATTTCTTAATTTTGGTTAATTAGTGAAATAACTCCGCCTGTGTAAGTTTATCTTACATTGCCGGTCCCAAGCCCGGGTAAAGGAGGAGGGGGGAGGGCGTCAGGTAGTCGACAGTCGGCACTACACAGTTACGTCGAATCCTTATGAAAATGAATCCATAACGAAATCGCGCTAAAGCTAGGGCGTCACCCGTAAGTGGCGCGCTGTGTGGCCCGAGCACAGTGATAAGTGAGCAAGGGTCGCTGTATCTCCATAGGCACCCGGATGCAGTGTTAAATGAGCAAGGGGGCCATAGAAACTTCTTTTTGAACGACTCCACTCAAAGTTGTTTAGGAGCATATGCTCCTATCAACTTTACACGGGACACACAAAAGAAGTACTTTGATTCCATTGGACGGGGGAGGGTGAAGAAGCTAGGACAGAAGGGTAGAGTTCAAGAGAGTAGAATGCGTTTAGGAACGTGGAATATAGGAACCTTAACGGGAAAATCTATGGAAGTAGTGGAAGTTATGGTAAGGAGAAGGATAAATATTATGTGCCTATAAGAAACTAAGTGGGTTGGTCTTAAGGCAAAGGATCTAGAAAACTCAGGGTTTAAACTTTGGTACTCGGGCACAAATAGAACGAGAAACGGTGTTGGCATCATCGTGGACAAGACCTTGACACAAGATGTTGTAGATGTCAAGAGGGTAGGAGATAGAATTATGGCAATCAAGATTGTAATAGGACAAGAACTCATCAATGTGATTAGTGCGTACGCACCTCAAGTAGGGTTGGATGCGAGTTCGAAGGAGAAATTTTGGGAAGACCTTGGAGACTTGGTGCAAGGAATTGCCCAGACAGAGAAGTTATTTATAGGAGGAGATTTAAATGGACACGTGGGCAGGGAGACAGGCAACTATGGAGGTTTTCATGGTGGCCATGGTTTTGGGGAGAGAAACGAGGATGGGAAAGCTATCTTGGATTTTGCAATGGCATATGATCTCTTCTTAGCCAACACCTTCTTTAAGAAAAGAGAAGAACATGTGATCACCTACAAGAGTGGGTTGTCAAAAACACAAATAGATTTTCTTCTAATTTGGAAAGGGGATCGTATAACTTGTAAGGATTGCAAAGTTATACCGGGAGAGAGCTTGGCTAATCAACATCGCTTGTTGGTGATAGATGTACATATCAAAAGAGTGAGAAAAAAGAACAAGACTTGGAAGTGCCCAAGGACTAGATGGTGAAATCTAAAAGGAGAAAAACAAGTCATTTTCAAAGAGAAAGTAATCACCCAGTGTGGGTGGGATAGAGAGGGGGAAGTTAGCCAAAGGTGGGATTCCATGGCTAGTTGTATACGAAAAGTAGCAAAAGAGGTATTAGGAGAGTCCAAGGGCTTTGCTCCACACCAAAAGGAATCTTGGTGGTGGACTGAGGAGGTACAAACAAAGGTGAAGGCTAAGAAAGAATGTTGTAAAGCCCTATACAAGGACATGACCGATGAAAATGGTGAAAGGTATAGAAGAGCGAAGCAAGAGGCGAAGAAAGCTGTGAGAGAAGCTAAGTTAGCGGCTTATGACGATATGTATAAGCGACTAGCAAAAGAATGAGAGTTGGATATTTATAAACTAGCTAGAGCAAGGGAAAAGAAGACAAGGGACCTAAACCAAGTGAGGTGCATCAAGGATGAGGATGGAAAGGTTCTTGCTACAGAGAACGCGGTCAAAGACAGATGGAGAGGTTATTTTCATAATCTTTTCAATGAAGGACATGAAATGAGTACTTCTTTAGGGGAGTTGAGTAACTCAGAAGAGTGTAGAAACTACTCATTTTATCGTCGAATCAGGAAGGAAGAAGTGGTTGTAGCTTTGAAGAAGATGAAGCATCGAAAAGCAGTGGGCCCAGACGATATACCGATCGAAGTGTGGAAAGTCTTGGGAGAGACAGGTATAGCATGGCTCACTGACCTTTTCAATAGGATTTTGAAAATGAAGAAGATGCCAAATGAGTGGCGAAATAGCACTTTGGTGCCTATCTACAAGAATAAGGGCGACGTACAAAACTGCATGAACTATAGGGGTATTAAGCTAATGAGTCATACAATGAAGCTCTGGGAGAGAGTCATTGAGCATAGATTGAGGCAAGAGACACGGGTTTCGGACAACCAATTCGGGTTCAT